GCTCCATCGGCACTGCAGGTACTGGGGAGAGCTGTGGGGAGGGAGAGGCCCCCCGAGCACCCCGCACACCAGCTGCGCTGTCAGGGCAATGTGCTCCTTCTAGACCAGCGATGCATACCTTCGGAGCTCTCGGCGATCACAGCCAGCAGCTGGTGCCACGGACTCCCGGCCTCTGTTCTCGACCCTCGGTCAGAACACGGAATGAGCATGCAAAAAAACTGGGGAGGGGCGCAGGGCACATTTGGGCACGCGCATGCGCACACACGACAGGGGTGGTCTTCAAATACACAAACCCCAGCGGGCTCATGACCCACTGGAGAACAAGTGTGCGACTTAGGACATAAGATCTGGAAGCCAGGCGCGTCCCAGCGCTCTGGGAGAGTGAGGAGGAGCACACGCTGGAGCCCAGTCGGGCCATTTCGCAATTTAGGAGACCTCGTCTCAAAATAAAAAATGGAAAGAGCTGGGGGTGTACCTGAGGCAAGGATGAGTTCCATCCCCGGCGATAAAAAACAATAAAATAGGGGCCGGGACGATAGCTCAGTAGAATAAGCGCTTCCCTGGCAAGCACAAGGCCTGAGTTCAATCCCTGTCCTTAGGAGATGCATTGAAGGAAGGTGGCCCTAGGAGGACCGGAAGGTGAAGGCAGGCGAGGGTGAGGGCGACACCAGGGGGGGCTTGCACCTGACGGGACACCCCGCCCCTCACTGGGTGTAGGCCTCCAGGGCTGGAGAGAGCATGCGACCCAGCATTTCTGAACCCAGTCTCACCTCAGAATCGCCTGGGCTGGCGGATTTGGGCAAGCACAGGGCCCGCATCACGCCTGCGCACTTGAGGCTAACCAACCCCGGGAGTGTGTGCCACAAGCTATGCCCTGGAACGCATCCTCCCGGGGGAGTCAGATGACCAGATTGGATCATCCGGGTGGATGTGATGCAGTATCATCCTGCCCGTGCCCAAGCCCTGGCACTTACACCAGGTGATGCCCAGGCCCAGAAAGACAGTGAGTGACAGCTCAACCCTAAGCAGTGTCTGCTTCCCCGTACAGTTGTCCCTCCCACACGTGTGCAGGGGGGCCTATCTGGGGGATAATCGGGGATTTCCACGACAGCCACGTCCACTGATTGATTTACTTATGTTTTCATAGAGTAGGAGTTGTGCTTTGGGTCTGGAGCGTCCCCTGTGAGCTCTCCTGTGAAGCTCCAACGAGAGGCTCCTGGAGGCCCGGTGGCTGCTGGGAGCACTGCGCTCCTCGGTGAGCTGAGCCCTTCCGTCCTGAGGACTGTGACGTGGGCAGCATCCTCCCCCAGGCTTCCCCACACCATCCCACGCGGAGTCTGCCAAGCCTGGCCGGCCGGAGAGCTCAGAGCCACGAGCCAAGTCGAAGGTGCCAGGCAGGGCACTCCTGGGGTGCTACGCTTCGCTCTGCTTGGAGCAGGTCCCCCAGCTTCCTGTGTTGGGAACTCGGTCCTCGAGGGGGCCTGAGCTCAGCCTCCAGGCTGGCGATGGGCTGTCCCCATCTTGTGCAGGCCCCTGCTCCTTCAGCCTTCACCAGCTGGGCTGGGCCAGTGCTGGGGCTGCACCCTTGAACCTCCAGCCCTGTGAGCCCAATAAACTTCTTTACAGAGGTGCCCAGCTTTGCGGTATCGTGTGACAATGAACCAGTGCAGAGGACAGAAGACAGGGCGTGCAGTGAGAGGCCTGGCTCACTTTGCAGTCTGGTTCACACCTCCTTCCTCTTACACACCCCCCCACGTCACTGGGCCCTCTATTCCCTGTGTCCCCACTTAAAACTGGAAGCTGAGATGACCACACCACCGACCTCGCAGGGCTGGGGTGCACTCGCACAGAATGCGCGGATCAGCCAGCACAGGAAACCATTAGCGCTTGGGCAAGAACTAGGTAGCGATGTATCACGTACGCGCCAGCACCACATGCATCCTGAGTTTCCCCCCGAAACGGGTTTGTTTTGTTCAAATAAGGTCAGAAGCCTCCAACTGGACAGATAGTGTCTACTGATATCCTGCAGAACAGGGGAGAAGGTGGCCCTCCACTGTCCCAAGGGCCCCCACCTGCCCCACTGCGCACCTCAGGGGCACAGCCCACCGCCCCTGGGACTGGGGTAGGGGCGCCCGGCTGCTCCGCCCCAGCCCCTTCCCCATGAGGACTGTCTGGGGGGTGAGGGACAATGCAGACACACACGAGGCCCGGGCGGCAGCAGCAACGCCAGGGGTCTCAGAAGGAAGTGGGCAGAAAACAGCAGTGTCCAGAAGTCCACTGTGAGCAGAGGGAAGATACAGGGAGGGAAAGGGAGGAGCAGGGAGCCAGCAGGGCTGCCCTTGCCAGGAGGCCCCTCTGAGGAAAGGGGAAACGGATCTGGCATTGGAGCGGGTAGGGCTTCCTGGGCCCTGCCCAGCTTGGGTGGTCATGAGCAGCCTGCGACCCCAGCTGCACCTGGATAGGAGATCACGCTGCATCTCCACCAGGCAATGGGTGACGCGTGGATCCCAGCGAGGCCAGGAGCTGTAGGGCTGGTGAAGAGGGGATTGGGCTAAACCCTTCCTGCCTCCCTGTAACCCAAAGGGCAGTGTCACCCAGCACAGTGTCACCGGAACTAGGAAAGAAGGGGAGGGAGAGAAGGGGAGAGAGTCCACCTGGAAAGAGAGACACAGGCTGCCCCCCATCTTCAGCCAACCTTGCTCCAGTGGTCACATCTGCCACTGGGAGAGGGGGTGGGCAAGGTGGAGTGAGGGGCTGGGCCCCCCGAGGGCCAGGGAAGCCCTGACTCTGGAAACTTGGAGCAAAGAGTGGAGGGGAGAGAAGGGCCCGGACCCCAACTGGTCACCCGCTTTCCAATGGCACCTTTGTCCTGCCTGAGGTCAAGAGCTGGCCAGACCCGGAGCCCACCAGCTCACCCAGCCTCTGCTGTGTCCAGCTGGGCCTCCAGGCTGGGTGCGGGCGCTGTGAGCTGCAGGGAGAACATGACAGGCCTGCAGCCAGGGGCACACGCCTGGCCTGAATCCCACCACCCCATTAGTGTAGGAGACCTATGCACCCTGCTCAGCTCCCCTACCCTGCTGACCCGTCAGGTGGTCAGCAACATTTCATAGTGTCCTGCGTAGTGTTCTATGGTATCAGCAACCTGCATTTAACCAACTTCTTACGGAAAAGCTCTTAAATTGCTTCCAGCATGTCTGTCATCTTCCTGTAATGACCAGGTGACAGTGAGTGACCACATCCCTAACCACATCACACAGATCTTGCTGCGTCTTCACCATCAACTCTCGGAGGAGAAACTGCCGGAGCAGTAAGCTCTTGCACTTGTGAGTTGGAGGATGTCCCCCAACAGTCTCCTTAAAGGCTGTGTCCCTGTGTGCCCCCTTCGATAGCGTGTGTCTCTCCCTTCCCACTTGCCCACTCCGTGTGGTATTGGGGGCGGGAACTTCCCGAGCCTGTAGGAGAAAGACAAGGTCTGGCAGCAGTCCTCACGTGCATTTCTACATCGTGCATGGCACAAAGCGATGCTTCACACACCTCACGCGGCTTTCGTTCCTTCTCCTGTGAGTTACCTCACCACCGGCACGGACCGTTCCCGCCCCGGGGTGTTGCCCTTCTCTTCTGGCTGACGGGAAGCGCAGCACAGAGTGAAAGCTTTGGCCGGGCGCGGTGGTCCACGCCTGCGATCCCAGCACTCGGGATGTTGAGGCAAGAGGATCGTTG